TTTTCAACGAAATGTAGTACGTCATTATTTAGGAAGTTTTGGGAAATATACTTATTCTAGAAAACGGCTAGCAGGATCTATACCAATTAGTCTACAAATGGATGGAAGCGGTCATTTTCCATGTGTGGTGATGTACTTATATTATTGTAAGAAAATAAAATATTTTCATTTTTACACAATGTTTTATAGTTTTGACTCCCGATCGGCCCACTGTACTCGTATGACTACACCTACTTTTTGCTAAAAATTTAATTTTTTTTATGTCAAATAACAATGAATTTTATTGTTACTATTTAACCCAGATCCAACAAGGACATTCAAAATATCTTGCTTTATCGAAAAAAAAAATGTCGTGGGATCAAATGGATTAAAATTGTTCTGAAGCTATTTTCTTGTGGCATTTTAAAGTAATTAAGGTAAGTCCGGGAGAGTTGGACTACATTTTTTTGAAGCTCACTAAAATTATATTTGTTAACTTATTAACATTATAATTTAAGCGTTTGGTAAAGAATTTAGTTTTATACCCTTAAGAGTTTACTTTTTAATTGAATATTAATAATTAAGGCTACATTGCATTTTTTCCAAAACTTTGCATATTTCCATCTCACCCGGACGTGTCTGTGAGTTGTGATATTCTTGTAGTGAGATATTAATATAACTATTTAATTTATAGAAATTTTAAAAAAATACTTATTATTACACTTAGAACAGTTAAAATAAATACTGCAGCAGTTTCTTTAGAACCAATGATGCTATTTGATATGAGACGATATTTTTGGAAAGTATTGACAAATGAATTAAAGAAAATGGTGGGCATATTGAACACTTACGTTGACAAACAGTTTAATGTTATTTAAATTAACTATTTCCTAATTTGGTTTGTAAATAAAATGTTTTGATTATGACTTTAATTTAATACAAAACGTAAAATGTTTGATGTAAAATCCAATTATTCTGATATTTATCAAATCCTATTATTTTATCCTGCTGATATATTTATTTTATTTAATAATTCGTTAACTATTATTTTTATTAAAGGTATTTTATACTAAAATGCAGAAGTATTGATGTTTTTCTTTAATTTTCTTTCGTTGCCTGGAGTAATTGCGATAAATCAGAATTATGTAGTTGATTTCTAAAATGCGATTATCTCGACAACTGTTGAGTTTTGAAGATATTAACTAGTATACCTTTTTTTGGTTAAAATAATGTATCTTTAATATTTTTTATTAAAAGTACCGGTAACTTGAAGAGCAAAAAAGTAAAGTGCAAATGTATGCCACATATGTGGCGCCCTCTATCAGCTACATCAAAGTATACATCAAATTATAATTTCTGATATTTAATCGTACCCAATTGTAAATTTTTATACATTAATATTGACAAACAAAAAGTTATAGCGAAAATAAAATTTTAAATTTCCACTTTAACACCCTGTATCTTTCTTAATTTCAACATTTAATTAAAGCAACTTGACTTAATCGTAATATTTTAAAGTGTAGAATCTACGTTTTCATTTTGTACAATTACTCAAGGACCACCCTGTATATATGTATATACAGGGTGTATATATGTATATACAGTGTGTCCACTTAAGTTCGCACCATATGGGAAACTTTCTTAACCTAACCTAACCTAAAACTAAAATACAACCATCAGATATTAAAATTTTTCAGGCGTATACGAGGTATGTTCAAAAATATGAATTTTACCAAGAGCAAAGTACCTCAATTTTTTATAATTTCGAAAATTGTTATCAAGAAAATTTATTTAGAAGTCTACAACATGTTCAAATATATAGCCATGTATACAAAATGTTTAAAATGGAGATTTTCTACATTTTGCTATTGCATGTCTACCCTACAACAGTAATAAATGCATAAGTACATTTTTAATCAAGTTGCCATGATATTTACATATCTGACATTAAACGTAAAATACATATTTGACAGTTACAATAAATTCTAATTAAAGATGCCGGTGGTATTGAATTTAGAAGAAAAAATAGAAATTGTGCTAATTGTGGGTGATAATTATAAAACGTATCGGGAAGCAGCTGAAATATTTAATAACAGACATTCAGGAAGAAATATACTACATACAACAGTTATGAGACTTATGGTAAAATTCAAAGTATACGGAGATGTTAAAAATAAATTCAGCAACAAACGTGAAAAACGCGTTGCAAATGAGGCGACGAAATTAGATGTAATGTTATCTACAGTTCGAGATCCTAAATATTCTCTACGAAAGAGGGCATTGTTGTTGCAAAATGCAGGTAAAAGTACAATTGCAAAAATTTTGAAGGGAAATCAGTTTAAACCATATAAGCCTAAATTTATTCATACATTGAAACCTAGAGACTACGATAAGAGAATAGAATTTTGTTTTCTTATTCAAGAAAAAATTGAAGACGATCCTTTTTTTGTTAGAAAAATAATGTTTTCAGACGAAGCTACATTTAATTCAAATGAAACGGTGAGTTCTCAAAATTGTCGATGGTGGAGTGACAACAATCCTAACTTCACAATTAGGACTCGTGATCAATATTCATTTAAAACAAATGTTTGGCCAAATGGTTAAAATAATTGGGCCATTTTTTTTTCGACAATCCATGACCTCTCAGAATTATCTAAATTTCTTACAAACTCACGTGTGTGATTTTATTGATGACCTATCACTACATGAACGGCAACAAATATGGTACCAGCAGGACGGCGCTACATGTCATAGTACATTGGAAGTAAGGCAGTATCTGGATCATTTGTTTAACGGAAGAGTAATCCACAGATATTCAGAGACTTTTGGCCAGCTAGGTCGCCAGATTTAACCCCGTTAGATTATTTCTTTTGGGTTACTTGAAAGAGAATGTATACAAACAAGGGCCGTTTACAAACGTCCAACATTTGGAAAGGGTTATTACGGAAACCATTCAGACTATAACTCCCAACATGATTCGAAATGTGTTAAGAGAATTTTGTCGTAGAACGGAAACTTGTATTGAAAGAGAAGGTGGGTACGTTGAGGCAATGGCGGTTTGATCTAAGAAAATCTATTACTTAATATTTTTTGCAAATATTTTTAACAACTTATTGTTATAATTGCTATTCCTGTTAGATTGTAAAATAAATAACGTTGTTATGTGTACGAATTATTTTAAAACATCAACAAAATGCTGCAACAGTCAAGTTGGGAAACTAAAAGGTTATCAAATTTTTGATAACAAATGAGTTAAATGTTTGTTAGATATGTTTACAATTTTAAATAAATTTTCTTGATAACAATTTTCGAAATTATAAAAAATTGAGGTACTTTGCTCTTGGTAAAATTCATATTTTTGAACATACCTCGTATACGACTGAAAAATTTTAATATCTGATGGTTGTATTTTAGTTTTTACACCATGCAGAACTTTTTATGAAGAATAACTTTTTTTCGTAAAACTAATAATAAGAAAGTTTCCCATATGGTGCGAACTTAAGTGGACACACTGTATATATATATATATATATATATATATATATATATATATATATATATATATATATATGTAAATTAAGAATCACTCTAAGAGTGTTGGGTTTTTCGGTTACAAGATGGTGAAAAAAGACAAAGAAGGTGGCTACTTCATCTATTTATTCGAACACGTTTCGCTCTCTAATCAGAAAGCATCATCAGTTCATCTAAAAAGAATAATATGAAAAACCAAACATCTATAGAAAGGTTAATACAAACGTGTTACCTCAAAAAGAGATGTAGCAGTCAAAAGTATAAAATGTAAAGAAGCTTGAGACATTAGACATTAAATAGTTAAGTTGTATAAGCAATCAATTAAAACTAATTACAGTTTACAATTTAACACAAACTTAAAACAGCAAAACAAACATTTGATTAATATGCATGTAATTTAAAAAAACGTCTGTAAAAAACTTGTAAAAAATGTAAAAAATAAGTATTTGCTGAGAAACTAATAAGATCACAAGATCACCCTTCCAACAGTAGAATATTAATTTAGTTTAATTTTTACTTGAGGTAACATTATTAAAATGATTGCGAAAGTTTGCTGTAGTAATCTTGTAAAAAATGTAAAGCTTTGGCTTTATTCATTTCTTGTAAGAGCAGAGGCGTAGCTCCAGGCTGATAAAGGTTTTGTTGCATTCCACGTGTAAATTTTTAACATTATCCTTATCTCGTTTGCGAGTTCGTTACAGGTTAGAGAGTCGGTTTTATTTCGTTGTAGCTCTCATAACAAAAGGTTTTTTAAAGGATTGGGTAGTTAACCCAACCCCAAATCCCTTTTTCAGAGGACCATTTCACCCTCTCTGGTTAGTTTCCGACCCACCTGGGTTGGATACCGGATCTCCAGTTGGGTTGCTAGGTTTCCATGGGACACCAGCGTGAAGGTGAGAGTTGGATTTGAGTAGAAGAGGCTAATTGAAGTAAACTGGTATCAACCCCATGTTTTCTCATTCTACTCCTAGAAGAATGCATCCAAACTTAAAAAGTAGAGAAGCTCCTACAAGAGATTAATGAAAAATTTGGCATGAAAATCGAAAAAAAAAATATATCAATTATAATGGACTGTGTAAAATATAAATAAAACTATCTCATTTACAAACAATTTTATTTATTATTGTATACCGCATACACAAACTAAAGCATCAATATTTTGTAAATGTATAAATGTCGGAGAGCAACAAAGTGCATTTTTGTTTGCTAATATATACAATCAACTTGTCCTATCTAATGACTGTTTCATTGATTGTTTACTTAATTCAAGGTGATGCGAATGTGGTATCTGCACGTAAAAAAATATCTACGGATTTAGCTAAACTACACAGTAAATTCACGTAATGTTTTATCTGATATCTAACTAACAAAAAATAGTAATTTGATAAGCAATTCCATCAAAACCAGTTCTGTTTTTAAACCTATAAATACATAGGAAGATTGTATTATCTAACTTATTTAAATAGTAGAAACCGATCATCCTAGACAACAGATTGTAAGCAACTTCAGATATTGCATATCAAGACGCGACCGAAAAAGACATGGCGCCTGTAATAGAGAAGGTATTAGATGGCTTTAGACTTGCAGAAGGTCCCCATTGGGATAATAAAAAGCAATGCTTGTATTTTGTGGATATTATCGAAAGTACTATTTGCAGATATGTGCCATCAACGAAAAAACTTACTAAAGCCAAGATCGGTAAGTAAATAAATAAATCTATTTTATAATATCTTAAAATCTATTTAAGTTGTGTGTAAAATCGTAAAAACAATTTTTAAAAGAAGTTTACTAGGTTTCTACCGTAATTTTCTTATTTATACGAAAATTATATAAGGGCCATAAGAAGTAGGGTATACAGGTTAAATAGATCAAGAACGATATCGAGATTTTCTTCCACATAAGGGAAAATGGAAATTTTATAGCCGGTTTAAAAGATTCCTCAGGTTTGTATTTTAGTTAGCTCTGATTTTAGTTTTTCCAAATTTCAATTAAAAGCCTATATCTTCCTCTATATTTAAAATTATCAGCGATTTACATAACAAAGAACTTCTCACGTAGCGAAATTTGTAAAAGTTTTGAAATTTCCAATATAGCTGAATTGGATTAACAAAATATTATCCAGAAACAGAAAAATGGTATCTTATTGTGTATAAAGTTATACTGAAAATATGTTTAAATATAACTAATAAAATTTTTACGTGTGTGTGTAAAAGATATGGCACGGAAACAAGTCCATCAGCCACATAATGTTTTATTTATGTCTAAAGATATTTTTTTGTTCTTATTTGTTACTTTTTTTTAGATATATGTATAAATCACAAGTTATACTAATTTATATTTCTACTTTTACATTTTTAATACAATTTACAAAAGCTTAAATAAATGTGACGGGAATCGACGATGATTCGTTTTTAGGCGGAAGGAATACACGTGCCGAGAAGAATTTGGTAGTCGAGTAATTGAATATGTACTATGATGGGAGTGGTAAAGTGGGGTGCATCTGGAAATACGTATTTTGCGAGTTTTCAACAATACTCTCCCATTGCTGTTCCCATTTCAGCCTTATTTTATTTTTTATTTAGTTAAATATATCCCTCACTATATAAATATTGCAAAAGACTCCATTCTGCACTGCTTCCTTAGCTAGAGTATCAACTTTTTTATTTCCTGGTATATGTACGTAGTCTCTCACCCAAATAAATGTTATATTTAAGTTTACAATCATGTTTTTTAAACAACATAACACAGGACACTTCATTCCTCCAAATTTTTGTATTTTTTATAGAGTCTAATGCAGATTTAGATTCTGTTAATATTATTCCTTCGAGTATTTTATTGGATGTTAACCAGGTAACACCTCATAAAATTGCAAAAAAGCTCGGCAGTATAGATGCTACAAATAGGTGGTAAGTTATATGTCAATAATTGGTTTATATTTTGGATAAATACACCACAACCTACACCTTCCTTCATCTTAGATCCATATGTAAATATAACAGTTTTTTATAGAAATTACCTAGTATGGATTTTAGGGGGATGTGATTTATTTGATGAGATTCAGTATATTGGGAATTGTAATTATGTGTGTTTTTATTAAAGATTTAAAAGTATGACGTGTATTGTAATTTGTTACTACCAAACAAATTTTGGACTCCATTGGTCTCAGTAAATGCTTCTGCGAGCGGGGAAGATTTTTTAGTTCCCAAAACGGGTTTGTTAAGTCTTCTTTCACAATATGACTTAATGTGTTAATCATGAATTTCATGTTGATCACTCCCGGGCTTTTAGTTTTAACAAAATATTTTTGCGATAATAACTGACGGCGTAAATCTAAAGCAAAATTATTACATTCTGCCAGTATTGCATTCACCGGCGAGGATATCATCCCACCGAAGCAAATTCTAAGACATTTATATTGAACTCTATTTTTTTAAGGTTGGTATTATTTGATGATCCGTAGAAACAGCATCCGTAGTCAATGATGAACCGCACATAGGCCCTATAGAACATTAAAGCTTTACTAGAAATTGTGCCCAAACTTCTATTTGTTATGCACTTAAGTAAATTAAAACCCTGCTCGCATTTGCTTATTAGGTATAATATATATAATATACATTAGGTATAGGATATAACGTATATGACAGGACCATAGTAATTTTGTCTTAAGTATCTTCTTGTTCTTCTTCATCTAGCCATTCACGTCCACATCTAAACATAAGCCTCTTCAAGTCTTCCTTTCCATTGTTTTTTATTGTACGCTACTTGTAGCCAATTTTTCCCGGCAGTCCTTTTCAGATCATCTGTCCATCTCATAGGAGGTCTGCCTCTGGGTCTTTTGTGTTGGTACGGTCTCCAGGTTAAAATTGATCTGTGCCATTTGTTTAGATCGCTCCTAGCTACAACTTTAATGATGTTTGCACCACATCGGTGACTTTGGTTTTCTGTCTTAACCATGTGTTTCTTTTCTTGTCCTTAAGTGATATACCTAGCATTGCTCTTTCCATCGCGTGTTGAGTGACTCTAAGTATATTCATATTCTTTTTTGTGATTGTCCATGTTTGTGCCGCATAAGTTAATATCGGAATAATGCATGCATCAAAAACTTTAGATCTAAGATGTAATTGAATTTGTTGATTTCTGAGTATATAGTTCAGTTTACCGAATGCTGCCCAAGCTAACTTTCTTCTTCTTTTTATTTCTTCAGTCTGAATTTCCCTATTTAGGATTATGTTTTGTCCCAAGTATATATATATATATATATATATATATATATATATATATATATATATATATATATATATATATATATATATATCTGAAAAAGGAGTACGACCGTCAAATTCCAATATATAAAAGGATCACTCAACAGAGTGGTGGGCTCTTATATCGGTCAATTTGTAGGTGGAGAAATGAAAGACAAAGTTGATGTGCCACTCTATCTATTTTGAAGACGTTTCGCTTTCGTATTCTGAAAGCATCATCAGTTCATTCTAAAAAGTATAATATAAGAACCACACAATCATGGAAAAGATGTTACAGGTATTACCTTAAAAAGACATGTAGCAGTCAAAGATGTTAACAAGCTTATGAATTAAACTTGAACAAATGGACATTATAAAGTAGAAATGTATAAACATTTAATTTACTAACAACATTTAGTGACTTATTAAAAAATTAGCACAGTAAGTGACCATGTGGTCCGAAGTATAAAAAATATATTAAATTATAACTTAAATGATGCAAAGAACTAAGAAAATCAACGATTAACTTCCAACTATTGATAATTATTAAGCTTTAATAATAATATAATTAATAATAAGGTAGAGAAGAATATTATCCATTATTCTTCTCTACCTTATTTTCCTCAAGTTACTGAGAAACTTATTAAACTGTATAAACAAAATAACATTCCTGTTTAAATTGCTGTCAAGAACGCAAAAACTGTTAGAAATCTTTTTTCAAAAACTAAAACACCATTGTCCACTTTAGAACAAGTCAATACAATTTACCACCTTCCATGCTCTGATTGTGATTTGTGCTACATTGGCCAGACCGGTAGATCATTAAAAGGTCGTCTTACTTCTCATCGTAGTGATATTAATTTATCAAAAAATACGTGTGCTCTCGCACAACACGCTATTAGCACTAAACATAAAGTGGATTTTAATGAAGTTAAAATTCTTGGCACTGAACGTAATCTATTTAAAAGACAGTTTTTAGAAATGTGTTCAATTCTTAAACATCCTAATGCTCTAAATAAGAGAACTGACATAAGTAACTTGAGCCAAATTTATTATGCTCTAATATTGCAGAACTAGGCTTTACTTTCATTTTCACTATAATTGTCATGTAATATACATAATTGAACACAATTTTTTTTTTAATTAATAATATAACATATAAAATAAATAACTAATATTAAAATAAACTGAAACACTCAATTCTTTATACCAACTACTTAAATATAGGCAACTTTCATTACACTGTTACCTCTACACTAAAATTTTCCATATTAGTGTGAACCAGTCACTATTTAATAGTATAGTAATAATATTAACATTGTAATTGATTCATAGAATCCTTTACAAATTACAGATATAAGTGCCTGAAGCTTAGACTGTTGGAAATTATCTAATTGTTATTCACCTGTTGGCAAAAATTTTTTCAGCCACAATGTTTAACATAAATTTAAATATAAGAGTTTGAATGAAATTCTCCTGTTTGTATGTTTTAGACGGGCTAATGCGAGTAATTGTTATTGCTATATCAGTTTCTTTCATTGGATTGTCTCTTACAAGCGGGCTGTCATCCAAAACTCATTAACATTTAAATAAACCGCTCAATTATTTGAGGTGGTACCTCTGACCTTGCTGTTCTGTTGAAATAATTTCAACCTCAAGGTTGGCTGTCTTTTCGTGGTTCTGTGTCAGTCTGTTCAATCTAATGTCATTTTCCTGGTAGCAGGTGCAAGGCTTAGACCGGTAACTTCATTCATTTACACTATTTTTTTTTTTTTAATTATATTAACATCTTTTAATAATGCTACCAAAAGTTAAAATTAAAGCTTAATAATTATCAATAGTTGGAAGTTAATCGTTGATTTTTTTAGTTCTTTGCATCATTTAAGTTATAATTTAATATATTTTTTATACTTCGGACCACATGGTCACTTACTGTGCTAATTTTTTAATAAGTCACTAAATGTTGTTAGTAAATTAAATGTTTATACATTTCTACTTTATAATGTCCATTTATTCAAGTTTAATTCATAAGCTTGTTAACATCTTTGACTGCTACATGTCTTTTTAAGGTAATACCTGTAACATCTTTTTCATGATTGTGTGGTTCTTATATTATACTTTTTAGAATGAACTGATGATGCTTTCAGAATACGAAAGCGAAACGTCTTCAAAATAGATAGAGTGGCACATCAACTTTGTCTTTTATTTCTCCACCTACAAATAAGAGCCCACCACTCTGTTGAGTGATCCTTTTATATATTGGAATTTGACGGTCGTACTCCTTTTTTCCGATATATATATATATATATATATATATATATATATATATATATATATATATATATATATATATATATATATATATATATATATATATTCTTCAACTTTTTTTATAACTTTATCGTTTATTATTGTCACGGTGTCTTCGGAGTGCATGACTTTTGTTTTGGTTAAATTCATTTTCAGTCCTATTTTAGAAGATTCGGTATGTAGTTCTACAAGCATGATTTGCATTTCTTGTAGGTCAGTAGCTATCAGGATTATGTCATCTGCAAATCGTAGATTACTGAGGTAGCGGCCATTGATGTTTATTCCCTTATATTTCCAATTTAGGTTTTTTAAAACGTCCTCCAAAGTATGACGTCCTCTCAAGTATGATTCTCAAATATTTATATTCCTTAACTATCGACAGGGTACGTACACACAGGGTAAGGTTCTCCGGTGAACGTAGTCTATGCCAGGTAAAAAACATATAGAACACTTTTCTGTAGAGAGGGTCATACCTATTTCTTTTGTCCATGCAACCACTGTATTCATAACGTTCTCTGGAGCCCCAATGCAAGCATCATAAGTATCTTGAATGGAGTATATACAGATATTATCTGCATATTGGATACATTTAATGGAATTATAGAAAAGTGAATAAATATTGGCAGAATATATATTATATAAAGTAGGACTAAGTTCTGATCCCTAAGGCAACCCATGATAAACAATTCTTGGACCGTGTAATACATTTCTATGGTCTTTAATGTATATACATCGGGAGAAATATAATTGTAATATATTTAGAGCAGTCAGTTCACTCAAACCAATATCAACCATTTTTTGTTTAAGTATATTTAGGTTAACAGAGTCGTAACCCACTTTTATATCAAGAAATATACAAGCAAGATACTTATTAGAAGCGAACGTTATTTGCATGTCATTAACTAAATGTGTTACTGCATTAAACATAACATATCCTCTCCTAAAACCATACTGAGTAGTAGGTAAGAGAGTGATGTACTCGAGATACCACTCTAGTCTTGTTTTGATTATTCTTTCAAACGTTTTAGTTATATACGATAGTAAGGATATAGGACGATAGAAAGCTGTCGCACAATTAAATGCTGTTAATACAACGTTGCAATGAATAGATTGTTCATTCATACATTGTTGTGAACAAAGAACTACAGAAAAATGAGTGTCATTCGTTAAAGTTGTAGATCGCTTGTTTAATTATCGCCCAACGTAACGTCAATTTGTAAAAATCAATTCGTAAATTAACCTCCAGTGTTAGTATGAAGACTTACATTTGCGCAATAAAACAGTCGTGTCTTACTTATGGGGTAGCGCTTCGCTATCAATCCAATACTTTTGTAATTGCTGTAGGTCAACCACATATTTTCATGGCAATCATCTATGAAAGTCATTGCCACGTTGGTCTTTCCTGCTATATCATATTCTAGCATACTCCTGTTATGATTCACCTGTATACAAGATTTGTGGTATAGATATCCAAAGTTGGTATCATATTTTTGTATGAGTATAAATAGCTCTGTTTTTACGCTATTTCATTCATATGAGCAATCTAAATTATGAGAAAGTACTAGCGTTTGTATTTTAACTGGTGGATGTAAAGGATTTATAGGAAATAAATGTACATATTTATAATCTTCTGTACGTATGTTATTTTTTTTTTAATAATTTTACTTCCCACATAGAGTTTCATCTAGTTCTCTTGCTTTTATTTTTCTACGGTATTACACAGTACAGTACTATACAGAGTCCATCGTATGTATACAAAGCAACACAAGGGTCTTTTAATTTCTCGTACTAAAATTTTTCTGTCATTTACCATATTTTGGATCATATTTAAATTCTAGTTATAAATGCCGTAAGGTGCGGATGGAGGTGCGGCTAGCTTTTATTGATTTCATGATTTGTGGTCCGTCAATACAATCTTGATAGAATAGTTCCATTATTTCTGTTGTCACTAAACAGCTCTAATATAATGATTGCAATAATATTTTTTTTTGTTTTACATTCCAGGTACTAACAGTTGAAGGCAGATCTTCTTAAAGAATATCTGCGTTATGCCAATATTTGATATGTTTTGTCATATTTATGTTTTTTTATTTCATCCAAACATAAAAATAACAATGTAGGTATACATATTTTCTAAAACTCCGTAATTTTAGATAACTATAATGTTTCGATAATCATACCAGTCAAAGACAGAGACAACCAATTCATAGTGACTTTGAACAATTCTATAGCTTTAGTAGAATGGGATGGAGAAAGTACAAATATAAGTTCATTAAAAAAAATCTATGAAGTGGATGCTGGAACTAGCAACGTATTCAACGATGGAAAATGTGATAAAACTGGAAGAATTTGGGCAGGTACGTTTTTTCATGCATTATTGTAAAAAATCACGAATGAACAATTTAATTATATATCTATGGACCTGATCATCAAATCTGAATTCTATTAATTTTTGGTCTAGATGTTGTTCTGTATAGTTATTTTATTGATCGTTCTTGGAGTAGTGTTGTTTAGTTCGCATAATTCAATCAGACCTTCTCCGTTATCGTTTTTTTCATCCATTCCAAATTTCTTCACTACTTTATCATTTTCTTTCCTTCCGGTGTTGCTGTTAAGGCATCCTGTTACAATTATCTCCACGTTCTACTTAATTAGCTCTATTTGGTGTTAGTTGTTCCGTGAAATTTTCTTTTTCTACTCTCGGGGAATCCTCTGTTGGTGCATATACTGTGAGTATCACTGTCTCTTTACCGTATATGTCTATATGTATTTTAATTAACCTCTCGTTGATGAAATTCCATGTTCTAACCCTGTTCTTCCACTTATTTTTGATTAATATTCCCATTCCCGCCTTTGCTCTACATTCCTTATTAACTCCGCTCCAGCAGTGGATATGATCTTCTATTGTTTCCGTTCCATTTCCTTTCTTTTTGGTTTCTGTTGTTACTAGTATGGCGATCTTGCTTTCTCTACTTGAAATACTTATGTTTAACTTAAGTTAGGTTAGTAATATTTTCAGCACGATGAAAGAAGTTCTGGCAGATGATGCACTTGACTTGGAATATGATGACATCGGTAATGATAATGACAAAGACTATTTCGAAGAAAGACAAAAGCAGTCAGAAATTGACAATGATGTATGTGAGGGACAAGACATTGTGGAGAAATCGAAAGCGAAAAATGTAACTTCCACTAAATAAAAATAAATGTTATACAGATAAAGTGGCGTTATGGAAGAAACACTGTCCACTGATGAAGTTACGAAGCTGTAGGGCAAGATCAAAAACATTGTTACAAAATTCTCTGTAGAATTCTGGAAAAAAAATGTTGACGACTCTATTTTTAATACTATTGTTACCTATACCAATCAGCACATTATGAAATTTGCTTAAGGATAATATGAAAGAGAAACTTATACGAGGCCTACTGATATCTTACAAGTTCTTTTGAATTGATTGAGTTGTAATAATATTTTTAATACTACCGGTAATTCATTATAGTTGTTTCTTTCACCATGTCACAAAAACGTTCCCTTTTTCTCCTTCGACATCTAAGATAAGAGAAACCAGAATAGTTGTGGATAAACTAGCTCCACTTCGAGATGCGTTTTGTCAAGTGCATCAATAATTTTAATCCATCTCAATACATGTCTTTACGTCACTACATGTTCATAGAAGAGATGTTAGTAGCATTTCATGAAAACTATCTATACCCTATTCTCCTGCTAAGTATGGGATTAAGTAACTCCTCGATTGATGTATTTAGTAGATTCGTTTAGCCAATTAGTAGATCTAATCAAAATATAACCACTGATAATTGTAAAGAATGAAATCTTTTAGCGAAAGCCGCTATCGCTGTATGTATTAAATGGCCAACTATTTTGTCTCCTAGGCCATATAGTTGGCCATTTAATACACTGATAATTGGTTCACCAGTATTAAACTATGCGAAAGACTATGCGAAAAATTGTACTTTATCATCACACGTTCCAAAACCGAAGAAAAACGTTCTTCTGGTATCTACAATGCATAACGAGAACAAAGTTGATAAAATCACACAAAAACCTATGATGATTATTGAATATAACAAAATGAAGTTAGGAGTTGACATGGTAGATTAGCTGTCATCAAATAAAATGTACCTTGCGATACTAGAACATGACCTATGGTGGTCTTGTAATTTATAATTTATAAATATAATCAAAAAAAGATAGAGCATATCACGAAGAAGTTTTTTGACAGAACTATGCAAAGGTCTCGTAAAAAATCGTGCGATAAAAAGACAAACAGATCAACACATACGACGTCCCATCCGAGAAATATTACAAAATTTATGGAAGCGCATCAGGGACATTAGGAGTTGGGCTTTGCCAAATTTTTACCTCTAAAAAAAATAGGATAACAAAATATAGCTGTGAAATTTGAAGTAAATTGCTCTGTCTCGTTACCTCTCTTTGTAGTCAACGTTTTAAGGGGACACCAAATTAGGACTTTTTTGAGATTTTTGGTTAAACATTTTGTACAAAAAGGGTGTACATATGTGGGAAATTATTAGTATAATTTCCGTGTATGTGGACTGTATTATATAGGGCTGGTTCAATAAAATTAGGATAAGTAATAAAATGTATACAGACAATAGCAAATTAAGTTTTTTATTAAGATATTTAATTAAGATATTAAGATATTTACTAATATACAGATATATACTGGTAAACAACCAAATGGTTCTACATTTAAAAATAGTAACTCCGCGATTGATGTTTTTAGTAGATTCGTTCAGCCAATTAGTAAATATAATCAAAATATAACCACTGATAATTGGTTCACCAGTATTGAACTATGCGAAAGACTATACAAAAAATTGTACTTTATGATCACACGTTCCAAAACCGAAGAAAAACGTTCTTCTGGTATCTACAATGCATAACGAGAACAAAGTTGATAAAATCACACAAAAACCTATGATGATTATTGAATATAACAAAATGAAGTTAGGAGTTGACATGGTAGATTAGCTGTCATCAAATAAAATGTACCTTGCGATACTAGAACATGACCTATGGTGGTCTTGTAATTTATAATTTATAAATATAATCAAAAAAAAGATAGAGCATATCACGAAGAAGTTTTTTGACAGAACTATGCAAAGGTCTCGTAAAAAATCGTGCGATAAAAAGACAAACAGATCAACACATACGACGTCCCATCCGAGAAATATTACAAAATTTATGGAAGCGCATCAGGGACATTAGGAGTTGGGCTTTGCCAAATTTTTACCTCTAAAAAAAATAGGATAACAAAATATAGCTGTGAAATTTGAAGTAAATTGCTCTGTCTCGTTACCTCTCTTTGTAGTCAACGTTTTAAGGGGACACCAAATTAGGACTTTTTTGAGATTTTTGGTTAAACATTTTGTACAAAAAGGGTGTACATATGTGGGAAATTATTAGTATAATTTCCGTGTATGTGGACTGTATTATATAGGGCTGGTTCAATAAAATTAGGATAAGTAATAAAATGTATACAGACAATAGCAAATTAAGTTTATAGAAAGTTTTACCAATATTTTTTCTGCTCCACACTCTCGCGGTTGTTTCCAGTCTTCACTCGTGGTTATTCTTCACCCGCGAAATCTGTCCAATGCACCGGTTTCTGAACACGTGTTTCGCAAATATATCGCGATATAGAGCACACTTTGTCTGCACACGATTTAATACAGTATTTTTGATATTTCTCGCGTAACTAAAGCGGGAAAGATGTAATTACGATAGAAAAACAGCCAAAATAGATGCTGTTCTTCTTGATAAGCGAAGAGAGGGAGAATGAGAGAGAGAACGTCTGGCTCTAGTGATGGCCAAACTAAGAGAGTGAGAGAATGGTCTGTCCTTAGCGACGGACGACCATCAAGAGAGTGTTTCTTCTTTACTATCTTAACTGTCTGTATTTCTGATGGAGAGGGGGTAAAATGTAAGTAGGAAGATTTATTAAGGGTTGGACTAGGATAATGATTGTAAAATTGTGATATAAGGATAGTTAATAATACAGCGAAAAAATGACATGATTTTTCGCATGTAAGAAAATTGAACACATTTTTTAAACTATTACATCTAACCTCTTTATTAATTATATTTATTTAAAAAATATGTGTTTAGTGTGTTTATAGGAATATATTATGAGGGGGTAACAAGCAAACACCCCTTAGTCACACAAAAATCAAAGTTGAGTTAGATGTGCCTAATACCTTAATCTGTTGTAGCCAAAGTGGTTTATTTTATTTGATTTATGCAAAAAAAATATAACCAATGATAGAAGTATGTTATAAATCACCTTTGCATGCAAAACAATATATTTCTACTAAACTGGTCGATGCTAACCAGCTTATTTCCAAGCAACTAATAGGAACTCTGCAACTGCCAATCAGCTGAACCAGTGAGTCATTTTGAGGCCATTTACATCAACGCTTTTAAGGAAGAGTTTTATAAAGTTTCAGACACGAAAATACAACACAATATAATTGCCAGTCTGATTCATACAACAAAAATCAAAAGACATGAGCCTAGACCAGTACACAAAAACAAAAATAAAAAAACCTGGACTTGAGCAAAAGTACTCAATACAATACTTTTTTCTACAACAGCTTTTTCGCACTGTTATTGGTATAGACACTACAATAAAAACATAACCAAAAAAGTGTATTTTGGATTTGCTGTTGAAGGGAAAGGAGAAGGTGACTCTGACAAAAATATGAACTATCTGAAGAAGGAAAGTGTTGAGAGTACATAAAAAGATCAGAGAAACTGATTCACATTACAGATGTTATCAGTCCAAAAGATTATATCTAAGTAGTAAGTTAAGTATTAGTAAACTATGTAAAATATTAACATAGGTTTTAAATCACCTGCATCCGATACTTAAAGTACGTGCTGCCCTCTCAAAGAATAAATTAAAAGTGTACCAGCACAATCTGCTAAAAAGACGCAGCTAATGGTTGAAAAGGAATAATTTAAGAAGAGCAAAGGCGTTTTATGAGTATATGAAAATGGGTGTTTTTCATTATGTTATCTTTGATCTTCAACAAATTCAGCCACAGCCGAAAAGCCCAATTCAAGAAGCTTATTACGCGACACAAATTTGGTTTTATAACTTTTCCATCAATAATCTAAAAACTCGAAACAACATGTTCTATACTTGGAAAGAGAAGCAGGCAGGAAAAGGCAGTGTGAAAATATCATCGGCTCTCTTAAACTCTTTGACAGAAGCTGATTTTTAGTCTGTACTTAGGTTGTTTAGCGATAATTGTGTTTCTCAAAATAAAATAATATTATTCTGAGAACACTGATTCATTTTTTGGAAACACACAAAACATTAAGCAGTGGTATAGGCAAAGTAGGAGCACTAGGGGAAGATTGGCCACTTCTTGATACTAAGAAGCTAAGTGAATACTATAGGGACATTCAATCAAGTAGTGAACCAAAGAGAATTAAAATCTGCTACCAGACCCAAGAAGAAATTGAACACCTCAGAAAAAAGTGAAAAGGAAAGTCTTTCAAAAATATTATGTTGGTAAGAGGCGTGAAAAACTACAAGTGTGAAGTAAACAGTCTTTTATATCTTTAAGAAAAAAAGGGAAAAAGAATCTAAAACAAGTGAGACTTGAAGAACTCCCAATTCGTCATGTATTAACCAAAGAAAAGACAAAGATATTCACAAATTTAACAAAAAAAATATTATTCTGACCCACACCTTGGTTGGTACAAGAGTTTGATTTTTGATGAACCCACTATATCAGCTGCTGGTGAGGAGCAGGAAGTAATGAGTGACTGTCTCGACGATGAGCGCTGTGACTTCCATATAAAAAAAACTGTTTTTTGTTGCAATAACTACCTATTATGACAATTTTTGCCACTTAGATAAGGCCCATAGTATTATCTTACAAAAATAGAAGTTCATTCAGAAAATCATTGATCTTATTACCAAAACAAAATCAATGTTTTAATCTATTTTTTAACTACCCTAACTAAAATAAGTGTTTTAGTCTCATGTTTGATACAATACTATTACATAACATTGATTAGAACTTAGCATCCTTTTGCAAAATAGAAGCTACAAGTTTTTCGCCCTTCCTAAGAAATTACTTATTTGTGACTTAAGCTTGATTGCATTTTAGCTCCTCATATAAAGCGATATGTCAAGAGTCCAACAAACCGAGGTCACCAGTAATGTGTAATTTTTACTTTTTGGTTCCCTCGGTACCTTGACCTCACACCCGACTTCTAAACTATATTGCAAAATATAAAATAATAAACATAATGCTATCAAAAGGAAAACCTTTTCTGTCCAATAAATATCGTTATTCATCTAGTTTCTTTACTTTAGATCTATGTTAAATTGATAATGGTTGTGTTCAACTTTGATTACTTTTAGGTACTATGGGTTCATCGCCCACATCGATTGACGAACTTGTTAAAGGTAAAGGAACATTGTACAGCTTTTCCAATAACACAGCAACACCTCATAGAGGTGAGATTGGCATATCGAATGGCATTGCATTTGACTATAGACTTGGAAAGATGTATTATACAGATTCATTTAGCTTTAGAGTTGACCAATATGATATTGACTTAAGCCAAGGCAAAATATGTAAGTAAACGTTGTTACACTGTAAATACATTATTTAATTATTGGTTATATTGATTTAAAATAAAATTGATTCAGTTTACATGTTATATAAGAGAGTTGCCTCGGTGTGCAAATGGACTCTTCCAACTGTTTACTGAGAAATATCTCAAGCTTTCGATAGTTCGATTTTGGATGGCGCGAATATTGGCCAGTTAGTGTATCAATTCTGATAGATAATCATATTTCTTTCATGATTCTTCTCAATATTTTCCTGTATGTAACCATGATTTGGTGTATTTGTCTTTTGAGGGCAAGGTAGATTCTGGTTCTGTATTCAAATATTGGCCTGATATATATTTTATTTGTGTGTAGGAGAGTGTGATCACTAATCCCAAATTTACCACTTATTGCTTTTAGGAGGTTGATTTTGTTTCGTACCCTGTTTAGGGTGTTTTCAAGTCCGTGTTACTGTTGAGAGTTGACTTTACAAATTCAACACCCAAGTAGGACACTGACGCTGAATTAGAGTCTCTCTCCATTGAGCATGATGTATTTGTTCTGTTTATTTCTAGACGAGTATATTTGGGATGTCTGAACAAAATGTGTTTTGGTCGGGTTTAAAGTTACTCTCCATTTTTTGCACCACTTGATAATGGAGTCAAGGTGTGCTTGAGCCTTTTCGAAGAAACAGCAGTTTCTATATTTGTCTGTGGAGGTCCTACGGATAGTAGGGACATGTCATTGCCATAGAGAAGAATGCTTTCTGATGTAATATTTGAGAGGGGGAGTACAACACTGGTATACACTGTATATAGACTAGACGCTAGTATTAAGTCCTGAGGAATTTCGGCTAGAGGCGTGAACGATGTGGAGAGCTTGTCAACGACTTGAACATGGATAGTCCAAGCAGAAAAAGGCTTGGTGTAAGTTTTCGATCAAAACAGTGTACCAGACCTGATCGAATAATTTAGGACATCAAGAAGGATGCCGACAGATTGTCTGTTGTAATCATTAATTGACTAAGAAGTTAAAGTTGCTGCTTTTATCGCCATAAAATCTAATAAAGTACGCCAATAGCGTATACAATAAATAAGAAGTGACATAGATTATACAGATTATAATCATTTACATAACTCAATAAAATGTTTTATTTCAGCAAATATGAAAACTATATTTTCAATTAAAAATCAAAGCGAACTGGCTGAAGAAACATTTTGCGATGGTATGACGTTGGATTCCGATGGAAACATATGGTTAGCATTGTTTAATTCTTCGAAGGTATATCAATTAGATCCTTCCAACCCAGAGACAGTTTTGAAGGTTTTGGAATTTCCAGCTGCACAGGTATTTCTGTTGTTGATTTATATCGATAATAAATCGAACCCGTATGAATCTCGCTTTAACATTTTAAATGTCTAATTATTTATTTTTTTTTAGATCACTTCTGTAGCATTTGGTGGGACAAATCTGGATGAGTTGTATGTTACTTCTGGCAATCTTTCTGACAGGCCCGGTGGAAAAAGTCCAGGATCTGTTTTTCGGGTGACAGGACTGAATGTCAAAGGACTACCTGCAGATGAAGCGATTCTTTGAATAAACTTTATTCTTGTTATATTTAAATGTTAACTATCGATATAAATAAAGTTTATTTACTAGTTATAGTTACTATAAAATTTTAAATCTAGACTTACCCAAAAATAAAGAGATAACTGCTATAAACTAACGAATATACTTATTATAAGTCGTCGCTGTGAAATCAAACCGACATAAATGCTAAACAGCCATTTTTCACTTGAGCGTTCCAATTAATTTTTTATCGCTTACTATCGTTTATTACACATCGTGTCACATCAAACGATAGAGAGTATTTGAGGCACACAAAATGAAACAAGGCCGCGTTGCTCAGAGCCGGAGGACATGTGGCGGTGGTTCTTAAGACATTTTCACTATTACACATCGAAAATAGAATTGAGAAGGAAGAAAAGATTACTGTAAGATAGCTACTAGAGCTAAACCAAAAATATTAAATAAATAGAAAAAAGAAACAAATGATAAACAAATTGCTAAAGAACCCCACCGTATACTATTTTTATATCTTCTAAAAATAGAAGAAAGAAGATGAGATATAAAAAAGATAAAACCTTTTAACGAGATTAAGAAAATAAAGTTATTACGATATATATATATATATATATATATATATTATATATATATAAGAGTAAGAAAAAAGAAGTACTTGTGACTCGTTTGGAAAAAATATAAAACTGTTTTTGATGGGTTGGAGTCAATAAAATTTTATTGACTCCAACCCATCAAAAACAGTTTTATATATAAGATATATATATATATATATATAATATATATATATATATATATATATATATATAATTTATTATTTTTATCACTATTATATATATATTTATATATATATATATATAATAGTGATAAAAATAAGGTCTCAGGTCATCTTGAAGAAGGTCTCAGTCAGATAAGAGGATAAGAGGAGAAAAGAAACAAAGTTGACCCTTTTTTGTAAAATTTCAGGTCATAAAAATGTTGATTATCTGATACATTTGATAAACAATATTATTATTTTTGTTTAGTCTTCTACTGTTACTATTGCTGTTATTGATATATTCACTGCCAAGGTGTTTAATTTATTGGATATTTATTTTATCAAAATAGGTACAAACAAAAAAAGTGTTATTTTTAAATAAATGTTGTAGTAACTTTCCAAGGATTAAATACAATCTTCGCTGCCAATCTCCAGCAGTCATTGTTTTCGTTTTTTTTTTACGAAATCGTAAATCGGAATAATTTATTAAGGAATTCAAAATATTATTCCCAATATCTTAGGTCAGTGGTTCCCAAAGTTGACTAAACAGTTACGAGTCGCATAAATACTTCTAAATTCACAACTTACCAATTGTTGTAATAAAGATAAATAAAAACACATTTAGTTTGAAATTATTTTTAATTACTTAATTACAATCAGTAACATTTTTGTGAAGAGGATGATGTGTTTCATTAAGTAGAGAAAGTTAGTTGTCGGCAACTGAAAGCAATAGTTTTTCTGGGTCATAGTGAACATCTCTATAAGACCATGCAGAAAGTAGTACTTCTCTTAACATCTAGATCCCTAAGAAAATTTTTGAGAGATACTCAAAAGTCACTTAAGCTCGATAACATGCAAATATTCGCACAATATCTTAATCCTTTTGATACCGTAGGTATTTGGGACAAGTGAATTTTACTCTTAAAGTGAGTGTGAGCCGTATGGCTAAATCATAATAATTAATGACCTGTGGAAATTTTTTTCCAAATACACAAATACAAGTGTATTTGGACACACAGAACAAGAATACGCAACGACAGAAATGAATACATAGAGTCAGAAGAAGAGATAGCAATGGCGTGGAAAGAATACGCAGAAAGCCTTTTTAATGACGAAAGACCAACACAACCAACGCGCAAACTTCCTTCCGAAAACTTATCAGGGCCATCAATAATGCGAAGTGAAATAGAATATGCAGTTAGAACCACAAAGATGCATAAAGCAACAGGTCCAGATGAAATTAATATAGAAGCAATAAAACTACTAGACGAGGAGAATATCGAAATCTTGGTAAGGATGTTCAATAGAATTTATGATACTGGTTACATTCCGCGAGAATGGCTGCAGTCATCCTTTGTGATGATCCCAAAAACAGCTAATGCCACAAAATGCAATGAACACCGCTTAATCAGTTTAATGAGTCACTTGTTGAAACTCTTCCTTAGGATATTACACTCAAGAATGTATAAGATACTAGAAGAACTTAGCGGGTCAACACAATTCGGTTTTAAGAGAGGACTAGGAACAAGAGAGGCAATTTTATGTTTGAACACCTTAATACAAAACTGCTTAGATCAACGAAAAGATGTCTACCTCACCTTCATCGACTACGAGAAGGCATTTAACAATGTTAAACATAATATCATGATGGAACTACTACATAGGGCCAACATTGACCAGAAGGAGATCAGAATTATTCAGAATCTATACTGGAACCAAATGGCAAAGTTGAGGATTGATCGAGACCAATATACGGATGAATTTGAAATTCGGAAAGGTGTCCGCCAAGGCTGCATACTCTCTCCGATGCTTTTTAATTTATATGTTGAAAATATATTTGCGGAAGCATTAGAAGATACGGAATTAGGCATTAAGGTGAACGGCATACCAATTAGCAACCTACGCTATGCGGACGACACAGTGATTATAACTGATAATTTGGAAGATCAGCAGTTATTACTTGATAGGGTGAATAGCATAGGTAAAAAATATGGTCTCAACATCAACATTTTGAAAACGAAATATATGGTCATTAGCAGAAACCCTCCAGAAAACCCGATATTATGCATAGGTGACAATCGTATAAATCGCGTGAAAACTTTTAAATACCTTGGCACCACAATCAATGACCAATCGGATCCACAACACGAGATAAAAACCCGAATACAAATGGCAAGACAAGCTTTTGTGAAATTCAGACCGCTCCTATGTAATCAACACCTAAACTTCGAAATACGCTACAGAATGGTCAAGTGCTACATATGGTCCATCTTGCTTTATGGCATGGAAACGTGGACTTTGAAAAAAACATCTATCAACAAACTTGAAGCATTTGAAATGTGGTCATTGAGAAGAATGATGCGCATACCTTGGGTGGATAGAGTTCGAAACGATGACGTCCTTAATAGAGCCGGCGTGGAAAGAGAACTCTTTGAATTAATTAAAAAACGCAAGATTGGTTACCTTGGGCACATATTGAGAGGAGCAAAATATGAAATACCACAGTTAATCCTACAAGGGAAGATCGAAGGTAGGAGAGGAGCCGGCCGCAAACAATTGTCCTGGTTAAGGAATATTAAAGAATGGACAGGAATACACAATACAGGTGAGCTGTGTCACGCCGCCAAGAACAGAATTCTAGTAATGAGATAGTCGCCTACGCACTTTGGTGTATGGCATGTTAAGAAGAAGAAGGAAATTTTTTGTCAGTTTTTCTATCACGCGCGGCCTCCTGCAGATGGGGATGTTCTCTGGATATTCTACCCAGAGAGTAGCGAAGATACGTACTATGAAACAAAAACTAACACCTGGCAGTAGGTATAAAACTCATACCTACTCATGAAAATGGTGGATAATGATTTATGTTTAGGGTCGCTGCCTGGAGATCGCAGGCCACGTTAGGAGCCTGCCCTAGACGTGACAGCATGCGGGACGTCGGTGGCAGGGTGTTGAGGAGGTAGGCCTCTGTCATACATCCCAACAATAAGAAGAACCACACGTGAGCCAAACAACAGCATAAGCGCCACTCACTTAAGGTGCTGCGCTGGAACTTCAGCCAGCACGTATGGGAGGATTCATAACCAAGAGCTAGTTGTAGATCAAGTCCCTAATGAAATCCCCAATGAGCAGATCCCTGGGCTTCTCAGTCTAGTAAACGAGATGGCACGTGTCGTACAAGAGTTAAGTGAAAGAAACCCATTTAGCAGACCAGCACTACCAAAAATAAACTCTTCGAATAAACTAGGAGCGCTATTATAAATTGTAAACACTGACGGCCTACAGAAAAAAAAAACCTCAACAATATGGCCGCCTAAGGAGATACAAAGTAAGTAACAACCGGAAATGGGACAATATACTTTTTGGATATGCAGATATGGTGTTTTATAGGAAACTTAATTCCACTGTAGAAAATGAAAACCAGTTATATCCTTTTTACTGCCTTCATTGACTACAAAAGGGTCTTTGATTTAGTGTCGCATAAATAGCTTATAGATATATTGAAAATATATAAAGTGGATGATAATATAGTGACCTTTTTTAAGCCTATAATGACGGAGTAAAAGACAAAAGTTTACCTTCAAATACCTGGTGAAAACAATTTCGAAAATAGAGATATTCCAATTAAACGGGGCCCTTACCAATGGGACCTATTGAGTCCCTCTGAGGACTCAATGGATCCCCTTCATTGAGTCATTACTCAAAAATAGTAATACTGTTGTAGCAGAGCTTAATCGTCTGTTGTATATGAATGATTTTAAATGAAAGGCTTTCACTCGAAACCACCTAGATCAGATGCTAAAAACTGTAGAAACTTTCTAAAATAATATCAGTATGCACTTTGGAGTAGACCGTATCGTGTACTAAATACAGTCATCAGAAAGGTTCAGCCCGGAGATTTTGACATTTAAGATGGCCAAAACATCAAGACAATGAGTGAAACTGATATGTACAAATATCTCGGAGTATGTTCTACGCTTAGCTAATCAGTTGGTATTATAAAGTGGTCAAAAACGGATATAGAAAGTAGAACACTTCGTACACAGGCAGTCGAACGTTATCCGCGCAGTGCAGTACAGAGAACAACATTATCGCGATATCTAGGGGGAAGACGACTCATGGTCATAAGTGAACTGAATAAACAGGTTGCCAATTTACGGAGCTATTTTCAAACGCATGCTGAAACCACCTTTTTAAGCAAAAAAATTGCGCACTTAGATGGTGCGCATAAAAGATGCGTGATAGATAGAAAAAATGTTTCTGTAGACAGAGGTTTTCTTGCTTGCCATTAAGGATATGGTTATTCCAACTAAAAAACGAAAAAT